TGATCCACAGCCATGAGGACAGTGCAGGACCAGCAACATTCATTCTGTTCTGCACTGGGGGTCAGAGGCCAACCTATGGCAACTGGTAACAACAACATGTGCTGGACCTTTAAATAGCTTCACATTTTAATTTTTTTGAATGGAATGGAGTAAAGAGGAGAAACGGAAAAGTGATTTTTAAGTTGATAGAAAACTGATTTCACTCATACTCCTTTGTTATACAATTGACGGTGGTGTTAAGTAGCGTGGAGTCAAATATGACACATGAACATCAGAGCTGTACCTTCCTATCCTTTGCCTCCTCGGGATCTCTGATAAACTCGAGCCCTTTGTTAACAGTCACTGTGTCAATCTGTCTGGATGATGATCTTCCTAGAGAGCTTCAAGTCTTCTGGTCTTTCATGAATATAAAAGGTTGGACAGCAGTCACTGGTACGTGTTAGAACTGTCTCAAGCAAATGACTGGTAAAATGGGAAAATGCAAAACAAACACTGAGCTCTTGTCATCCTGCAAAGTGGCAGAAATCAGTTCTGACAATAACAAGTGTTGGCAGGCGTGAACACTAACGGGCTGTTCTCTGCTGCTGCTGGACTGTATACTGGTTAAAGTCAAGTCTGACACACATGAGGAGGCATGCACATGTGACCCAGCGATCACATGCTCAAATATCTTACCCCTAAAAGAACTCTTGCACGTGTATGCAGATGTTACAGAAAAGGTTTGTTTCAACATTGCTCATAATAGCAAAAAGAAGGAAACATTTTATTGGTCATCCACTGGAGAATTAAAAATAAATCATGGTCTAATCATACAAAAGAATATTATAGAGCATTTAAAACTAATGAGTTGAGAATGCAGGCACGTAGAAATCGGCCTAGTGCATGTTCTGGGGCGAATGCTTTGGGCAGTGGCAGCAGCTGATGAGTACATGGGCCAGGGGCCCATGTGGGTGTCCAGGGTACAAGGCCCAGCTTCGCCCTGCCCACCTGGCAGAGGCAAGATGGCGAAGGAAACCCACCATGATATCCTGGAGGTGAAGCCCAGCAATTCTCTTCAGAGGAGATAAAAAAGCCCCCAAGTTCCATGCAGACAAGAGCACAGATGAAGGCAAGACTCATTCTCCAGGGGTAGGAAATGCTTTCAGCTCCAAATAAAAGGACATTTATGACCAGGGCAGGAAGTAGACAATGAAGAAAGGTGGCTCCGCTAGCCCCTGCCTCTTGTCATTCATGGACAAGCTGGACAGGTTCTTAGGTGGTGGAGGACAGACGGACGCCTAGGGAGAGAAGAGGCAATAACAGCAAACATCAGTTATCTTTAATTCTTGAAGATTTATGTAGTGGAGTCACAAGGAACTTGGTCCTGCAGAAAAATATAATTTGTGAGAAATATGAAGGCGTGGGGAAAAACTGTGTTCTGTGGAGAAGTCACACACATACCCCCCCACACACACACGTCCTGTGTGAAGGGCGGGGATGGACCCACATTCAGCAGGTCAGCAGGTGCAACAAATCCAGGCTGTGCACTGAGTACGTCAACCCCAAGGAAAGCTCCAAGAGCTGCACTGGCTCCAGGCTGATCGAAGAGAAGATTATCAAGGTGCACAGTGAAAAGGGGACAAAAGAAGGGCCGAGGAGGCCAGTTCATGGTGAAAGAGATCAGAAGCCTGAGCTGGAGCCCGGTGATGTCATAATTGCTTCATCAGAAGGATCATCTGATGCCTTTCTGAGATGAGACAATTCAGCTTTCGGAAGCTCTCCATGGCTTCCAGAAATGATAAAAACACTAAATGATAAGGCCTGAAATGTGAAGGGATTCCGATCTCTAAAGCTTCCTCAAAAAAAGGAACTCTGAACAAACAAGTTTTAGTGCTTGTTTCTGAAAAACAGTAGCTTTCACCAGAAAAGTTTCCTTAGCTGGAAGCTTTGCTCCCTCCTCAATACAAAGTGAGGACTATGGACAGCGTGAATCAGAAGACACTGAAGGCGTTTAATCCCAAGGAGTAGAACTGAGGCCGACACAGACAATGACAGAGCCCTGGACAGAGTGCAGTGCCAATGGGCATGAAGTGCTTAGTGCAGATGCCCTCGTGGACTAACAGCAGCTTTACACTTGGTGAGCATAAAGCTGGCACGGTGGAAAGAAATTCAGTTCAACAACCTTGTGGTGTGCTGTGGATGTGCTCAGCATTCTCAATTGCTGAGTGTCTTTCTGGTTTTTGTTTTGGCTGTAACTTAAGCTGTAACTTGATTTATATGTAAATGTTTTAAGGATAAGTCATCTCAAGTGTGCATATGGAATCTGTTCATTTACATTTTCAGGATGCACTTTGGAGATGCCAGTGACCGCATGGGCACTTTGTGCTTCTAGTGGCTTTGCTGTGGGAGCTCTAGAGTCACACTGCCAAGCCAAAGGCAAGCAATTAAAATCTACCAGCTGCTCCAAGGGAGACAGATGAGCCATTTCCTCCCATGTAATTTCCAGCCTCTGGAAAATCTGCTTGCGGGTCAGCAATGGGTCAGTTCTGATTCGACAGCAGTGAGAGTGTGAGCGGCTTTGCCGTAATTCAGGGCCACCGTTGAAGCGTGGCCCAGAGGGCAGCTAGCAAGCCCCAAGGTCTCACGTGGATGTCCTGGCCCGTCTGGGTCTGTGATTTTCCTCCCCTACTCCCATGGCAGAAGCAGAAAGGCCACAATCTCAGGGCTCCTCGCATATTTCTGACTCTAGACAATCTTCCTAAAGAATGAAGGCACAAAAGTAAAAAAAAAAATAATAATAATAATAAAAGAATGAAGGCACATCTATGGATCACATTTGGCTCCTGACAGGTGGACTGTGGTCCTGAGGCAGCAGCACCACCTTAATTCCTACCCTCAGCGGCTCAAATGGAGTGTGAGTGTGTGTGTGTGTGTGTGTGTGTGTGTGTGTGTGTCTTGGAGGTGTCCTGAACCTTCCAAGCATGCTGTGAGGACTAGTGTTTAAATGACATGCTGATGTAACTGCTTGTTTTTTATGCTTTTAATGATTTTTCTGTAGAAAACTGTTGCAATGTTCTCCCACCAAAGTGCTTACTTGTAAAGAAAAACTAAACCCTTCATGTCCCCGGCAGCCTGAGCGCAAGAAGCGGGGGAATGCTGGTGGTTTGGCCGTAGCCACAGCCGTCCCCCACCTAGTCATCGAGTCTGCAGTACTAGAAAGGCGTAGATGTTCTTGGTGTTTTCCACCTCCCAGATTCCACTGTCTCGAAGGTTTGTTCTCCTCCCAATGGCCATGCTTTCAAAGTGCTTCCTGTTCTAGTGATTATGATTAGATGGCATGATGACGTAAGAAGGAGCTCTGGTGGCTTCTTCTTGTGTGCCATCGAATTGGAACCGACTTGGAGCTAACGCTCCAGAGAGTTTTCAGAAGCAGTAAATTGCACTGGAGCAGCTGGTGCGCTTCTTACTACCAAGCCACCAAAGCTCCCTGGTAGCTGAGCGGTAAGGGGTTGCACTGCCAACCCAAAGGTACGTGGTTCAAATGTACCCGCTGCTCCATGGGATAAAGATGGACAGTCTCTAGTGTGATGTATGCCTCTGAAACCTGCGGGAGGGTCAGCGATAAGCCAGTTCCCACTCCACAGGAATCAACAACAACATCAATGTGACTGAATCCTACTGGGGATTCCAGCTTGTGCAATTCACCGTGCATTATAGTTTGGAGAGCTGTTTGTTCTGGGAGGTAGATTACAACTTGAACTTAAGGTTGTCTCAGCCTTTAAGCCTTTGTTATTCACTTCTTTCCCACAATAGTCATAAAGATAAACTTCCAAGCTGCTGAGTTAAAGCCAAAGCCACTTATCAGGTCCACCCTTGTTTAGTTAGACTCAGACAGGACTTCCCCAGGAGGGTTAAAGGGCAGATCAGACCATGCAGGTTGGGTGGGCCAACTGTGAAGACTAGACTCCCTCAGAACATTCATTTTTAAAGAATAGTATGCTCAGAGAGAGGCTGCCTGCCTCTGATTTCGTCATTGGTCAGAATGAAGATAAAACCAGTTCTTCTAACTAAACTTGTGTGAAACATCAATTTACAGATGGCCCACAACTTGAGGGTGTTTTGTTTCTGTGCAGTGACTTCCTCATAAATAATTGCTAGAGAACTTCTCTGGAGCAAAATTGCATTCAGCTTCTTCTTTGTCATGTAAATTAATTTGGAGGGCATTGCTTAAAACTTTATCCACCTATAATTTGTCACTTTAAAAATAAAATTGACCCTGGGATGGGGGAAATAATGAATTAGAGCCACATGCACTGCTATAGAGAAAGCTCAACACTTAGCAAACAACTTAATGTTGAGCAAAGCCAGCAAACTGCTCGAACTTCCATCAGTCCAGGAGACCCTGAACGATACCAATAGTTAATGTACTCAGTTGTTAACCACAAGTTGGTTTTTGTTCACACAGGTGCCTCAGAAAAAAGATCTGGCGGTCTAGTTCTGAAATATCAGCCCCTGACAGCCATATGGAACACGATTCTATTCTGACACACGGTGACCATGTGTGAGCATCTGCTCCACAGCAATTGGTTTATAAATGTTTTATTCCATTTACAATAAGCTTAAAATTGCCAAGGCTAAGTTGTATTTTGTGCATGGGTTCAAATGCATGTCTTCGGTGTGTGAAGACATTGAATGACAACAATAAAAGCCAGTGTCAAGACAAAGTGATTAAAGAGAGGTAACTTTGAGCACTAGCTACACCACTGGACCAGTAGACTACCATTACCCTTTTTGGTATGTTCCAAATACTCCATTTAAATAAAGAAAAAGAATCTGAAAGCTCTTAACTGCAAACGGGTAAAAACACCTTCTGGCTGCACGAGGAAGGAAATGTGAGGAAATGCATGATGTTAAGAGGTCCAGACTTGGCTGCATGATCTGCGTGGATGTAACACCATGGCCCCGCGGTTCATAAGAGCCTGGGCAGGCGTCGGCTGACTGTGATGGTTCCTGTGTTGCAGGCTTCGTGGTCCAGGGCTCCACTGGTGAGTTCCCCTTCCTGACCAGCAGGGAGCGACTGGAGGTGGTGAGCCGAGTGCGCCAGGCCATGCCCAAGGACAAGCTCCTGATCGTTGGCTCCGGCTGCGAGTGTGAGGCCATAATGCCCAGGGTGCTGGGGAGGCTGTGGTTGGGGGTCAGATTCCTTTGCTCTGGGTGTTCGGTTCAGTCTGTTTGTTCTGCCTCTAAGATGGACCAAGGCACCCCTTGTCCTAGTCTGTGGGACCCTTGCCCCTGCCTTTTCTCTCCTGGTTCTGTCCTCTCCTGTTCCTCCCACAAGGAAGACTCCCTCTTTCTTCCTGCAGCCACTCAAGCCACAGTGGAGATGACCTTGAGCATGGCCCAGGTTGGGGCTGATGCTGCCCTGGTCGTGACCCCTTGCTACTATCGGGGCCGCATGGACAGTGCTGCTTTCATCCATCACTACACCAAGGTGGGTGTGACTGGAAGAGGCTGGAGGAGGTAGAGACAATGCTGGGGGTGGAACAGGAGCAAGGGGCAGGCTGTGAGCCTTACTGTGGTTATGTGTGTTGAGTGGTTTGCAACTCACAGCAACCTGATGTCATGGTAGAACTGCCCCGGCAGTAGACTTCACAGGAGCGAATCATCAGACCTTTTCTCCTTCAGAGCCACTGGTGGATTTGAACTGCCAATCTTCTGGTTAGCAACCTAATACTTACCTTTTATGCCATCAGAGTTCCTTGGTCTACTTCACATGAAGAGCACCTCTGAGAGTGCAGGCCATTATGTACTAGCTGTCTGCCATTGGGCAACTTACCTCACCTCTCTCTGCTGCTATTTCCTCCCCCTCTAATGTGCAAGGGAGCACTGGTGGCCCAGGGGTAAGGAGCTGCTCTGCCAACCCAAAGACACGCAGTTTGAATCCACCAGCTGCTCTGCGGGAGATAGATGGGCCATCTCCTATCATGCACTTTACTGCCTCTGACAACTCGCTGGAAGGTCAACTATGAGTTGGTTCCAAACCGATGGTACAAAACACAATTAATAGGGGAGCAATAGTGATGTTGCCATCATATATTTATTGTGAGGATTAAATGTGATCATGAGCATAAAGGGCTTAAAATGAATGAATGGTGCTTACATATAGAAAATGTGTGTCTTATTGACTATGCAAAAGTATTTGACTGGATCGCAACGAAATGTGGCAAACATTGAGAAGAATGGGAATCCCAAAATACTTGATTATGCTCAGTCATATGAACAGAGCAAGGAAACACTGTATAGTTCAAAATCAGCAAAGTTGTGCATCAGGGCTGAGTCCTGTCACCGTATCATTTCAGTCTATATGTGGAACAGATCATTCAGAAGTCTGGACTTTATGAGAAGAATGTGATGTCAGGATTTGAGGAGGACTCATCACTCATCAATAATCTGTGTTACACAGATGACACAACCTTGCTTGCCAAAACTGATGAGGGTTGAAGAGTTTGCTGCATTAGGTCAAGAGCTGCAGTCTTAAATATGGATTGCATCTTTACATTAACAAAACAAAGATTCTCACCACTAGGCCAATTGGCAGCATCATGATAGAGAAGAGATTTACTGAGGTTGTTAACAATTTCATCTTGCTCAGGTTCACAGTCAGCACTCTTGGCACCAGCAGTCAGGAAATCAACAGACAAATTGCTTCGGGGGAAATCTGCTTTCAGGGACCTCTCCAGAGTGCTAAGGAACAATGAGGTCAGTCTAGACTAAGGTGGGCTGGATCCAAGTCAGGGGCTCCTCAATTACTTGCTATGCATCTGAGAGCTAAACAGTGACTAAGGAAGACAGTAGAAGAATCAATACCTTTGACTGGTGCTGGAGAAGAGTATTGGATTGAACAAACAGGTGTGTTCTGGAGAGGGAGAAACCAGACTGCTGCTTGAAGGCAAGGATTTTGAAACTCTGTCTCATATACTTTGAGCATGTTGCCGGGAGGGACCAGAGTGGAGGGACAGCACAAGAGAGGAAGCTCTGATAAGATGGATTGACCCAGTAGCTGGGGTCATGGGGGTAGATGTGTCAGAGACAGTGAGATTGGCTTAGGATAGGATAGACTGCAGAATCACAGGCGACTCCATGGCATATAACAACAATAACAACATGTAGAAAACAGTAAATAGTGTTGTTGTTGATTGCCATCGAGTTGAGCATGACTCATAGCAACCCCAAGAACAAAAGGCCTGAAACCTTTCTATAACTATCATTGTTTATCAAAGTTCATAGAGAAGTAGATGCCACTCCTGCTTCCAAAGTACTTCCACTAAGTATTACCACTTCCTAAACAACATGCCTCCGGAAACTCTATGAACGTTGATAAATATTGATAGTTGTAGAGGAGCTTCAGGCCTTTTGTTCATAGTGTCACTATGAGTCATGCACAATTCGAAGGCAATCAACAATAACAACTACAACAAGTATTACTCATTATTATTGCTTACAGTTGAAGTTCATAGCACTGGCTTGTAGACAAGGAGCTGACCGGTACAGGTACCACCACAGCAATACGGGCCAGTCCTCATTGGCACTGGGCAGCCACGCTGACTCTGAGGGCCCGGGCAGCACTCATCTCCCCCTTTCCTCTGCCCCCTCAGATTGCTGACCTCTCTCCCATCCCGGTGATACTGTACAGTGTCCCAGCCAACACAGCACTGGACCTGCCTGTGGATGCGGTGGTCACACTCTCCCAACACCCAAATATTGTGGGCATCAAGGACAGCGGTGGCGACGTGAGTAGCAGGTTGCTCCCAGGCAGGAGCGTATCTGTTCTTCTCTGAGACCTAACACTTCTGCTTCCAAAGTCAGGGTAGCTCTGAAGCCTGCTTTCTGTCCTGGACACTTGTCTGGGGCCTCTGTCCCTGAGCACTATGGGCCTTTATCTAAAATGTGGGGCATCTCACCAGTGTCTTTCTTATGGCAGCGCTTCCCAGGCAGGGCTCTGGGCCCAGCACTCACCCAGGTTTTGCTCTTACAGGTGACCAGAATCGGGCTTATTGTTCACAGGACCAGAGGGCAGGATTTCCAGGTGCTGGCTGGGTCTGCTGGCTTCCTGATGGCCAGCTATGCTTTCGGTAAGCGGCCCACTGCAGTGGGTACACTGTTGTGCCAGTGGATACACTGGGGCTGGGGCTTCTGATTGAAAACTTCAGGAGTCTGGCCTGGTGACACTCGCTTTTCTGGATCCCAGGTGCTGGCAGTGACCTTGAGAGGCACAAGGTGGAGGGTGGCAGTGTGCACGGTCTCCCTGTGCAAGAGCGTTGTGGTTTGTTCTGAGTTCCAAGTTCCTTACTTAGGACAGATTTAGCTCTTCTAATCACAAATGCTCCTTAGGAGTGAAGATGGGGAGAGCTCGTCTTACATACTTTGGGCATATCACCAGGAGGACAGAGTCCCTGGAGAATTGCATCCTTGGTGAAGGAAGTCAGCATAACAGAGGAAGAATCTCAATGCAAAGACTGACAGAAGAGCTACAACAATGGGGTCACGCATGGCCTTGACTGTGAGGACAGTGCCAGACGGGGCAGCGCTTCCCTGTGTGTGCAGAGAGTCCTGTGAGTTAGAGCCAATGCAGCAGCACCACACAGTCTCATCTAGGGGGCCTTGACAGCACAGAAGCACTCAACTAACTGAAAGAAAGGTCAGCGGTTCAAACTCACCAACAGCTCTGCAGGAGAAATGACCTAGAGATCTTCTTTAAGACTAAGTATCTCATTGGCATCGAGTCTGAACCAACTCATAGCTGACCCTCCGGTGGGTTTTCTGAGGCTTTAACTTGCATGGGAGGAGATTGCCCAGCTTTTTCCTGCAGAACCACTGAAGGATTTGAACTGATGGCCGGAGAGACATCACCTTCAGGTTGGCAATGCAGCTCCCTACACAGGACACCACCAGAGCTGCCTAGGAAACCTAATGGGGCGGTTCTGCTCTGTCCCACAGGATTGTTACTGTTGTGTGGTCAGGTCTGACCTTCAGGCGGGTGTTCAGAGGGCCTTGGACCCCTCCCTTCTAGCCCAGGAGTCCATTTCCCTCTCCTCTAATCCCAGGACAGAATGCACTGGTGGGATAGAGCCAGGCATCTCCGTTGCCTGATCGGATTCTATTCCAGGCCAAGTTCCCAGGAATGGCCCCATTAAACCAACTGTTCTTGCCTGTTGAGAGACAGGGGCTGGGATTTGGGGTGGATGTGAGCCTCTGATTTCAGTGACTCTCCCAGTGCTATGAGGACCACCCAGTTCCTGTCCCTGTGGCCTCTGCTGGCTTTGGAGTGGTTCTTAGACCCTTGCACACGTCTACTACTGCTGTGCCATGGTCTCTAGCATGAATGGAAGATGAGAGAACCATTTCTGCCCCTTCCTGAGAGCAGAGTGGATGGAAAGAGCATGGACTGGAGGCTGGCAGGTCCAAGCTGGAATCTCAGCCCTGCTAAGTGTTTGCTGAGTAATTCTGAGCAAGACTTAGTGTCTTTGCGCCTGAATTTCTTTTCTGTGAAGCAGACAGGTGATGTACAGGGTAGGGGGCATCTAGGATAATGCCACTGTGCCTAGCACACCATAAATAGTTAATAAATAGAAGTTATAGGCATGCATTCCAAATCCCCTTGAGGCCCCTTGTGCTTGGGTCATTTCTAATTAGCCTTAGAATCACACTCACAAGGTGGCAGAAGGGACAAGACCATCTGAAATCACCACCGAGACATTTGCACTGCTCGGATAAGAACAAGGGAGCCTGTGGACCAATATGTGGGGAATAATTGTGTTGTCAACTCAATGGAGCAAAGCTTGAGCGCACCAGTTGCTGCAGGAGAAAGATGGGCCATCTCCTCCCATGCAATTTACTGAAAGCACAGTGGAGGGTCAACTGTGAGTCGATTTCAACTTGACGACACTGAATTTAAGTTTTTCTTTTAAGATAAGAACAAAGAGGACTGGAGAGGGTCTGTGACTGAAACCAGTTCACACAGCCCATGGGAGGAAATTATAGATCTTCTGACTGTTCAGAGCTCTTGGTGCTCCCTCTTCACCTCTACCCACCACTGTCTGGGGAGGAATAAGATTTCAGAAGAGTAAAGGCTGCCATCCCCTCCACCTCCTTCCAGGGCTGACGAGTCAGGCTACCTGAGGAACATGGAGATGTGAACTGACCTGTGGGATTTTGGGCAGGATATGGAGGTGGGGCCAGATCTGCCCTTCTTCTGGCTCTGCTTCTTTCCCCTCAGGGAGCAGCTCTGAACAGGAGTCAATGTGTGGAATTCAGCTCTGAAGCAGGACGGATATCCTCACTGGAAATCTACTCTGTAGACTTAAAGAGCTTGCTTTCAACATGGTCTGCTGTGCCCTAGACATAACATCCTACCTTCTCAGAAGAGGGGATCCAGGGTTCTGCCTTCTCTGTGAGAAGTGCCTCTGCTGATGCCTTACGTCTTACCCTGGGGCAGGAGCTGTTGGTGGTGTGTGTGCCCTGGCCAATGTCCTGGGGGCCCAGGTGTGCCAGCTGGAACGACTCTGCCTCACAGGGCAATGGGAAGATGCACAGAAGCTGCAGCACCGACTTATCGAGCCAAACACTGCGGTAAGTCCCAGCGCAGGGCAGCAGGGCTTGGGGTTGGGGGGAAGAACTCTGTGCTCACTGGAACAGGCTCCAGGGCTGGCACTGGGGCTCCACTCACTCTCTTTCAGAATATCATTTTCAAAGAAAAAACTTCTCGTGCCTCCCCAGATAACCTTGACTTCAGGCAAAATTGAGCTGTGCTGCCTTTCACACTTCAGTCTGCGTTAAAACTCACTCCGAGGAGCTAGTTAAAATGGTCATTGTTTAGATTTGGAGAGGGACCCAGGAGGATGCATTGAAACAAACATCTTGAGTGGTTGTAGCATAAACTCCTGGGAGCAGACCTTGAATAAATAAACTAGAGGCTGGTCAACCAGCCTGTTTGGGGAGTTGGGGGGTGCAGATCTTGGAAAGCAGACTATTGGGAATAGCAGAAGAGGAGTTGGAGGCCAGGAAGAGAATCCTTTCCCTTGTGTGTTCAGATTGTGCATTCCAGTTCTGTGCTTGGCAAAAGAGGGAGATGTTAAGAACCGTCTAAGTACTAGACAGGGTTGTAGGGAACCATAGTGGAATCTGAGAGACAAAGAAAACCATGTGCCCTGCCATATATGTGGCTGTATGTATTTTTTAACGTAAACTGTTTATTGTGAGATAATTATAGATTCACATACAACTGTAAGAAATAATATTAATACAGGGAGATCCCATGTACCTTTACTTAATTTTCCCAAATGTTTATATCTTTTTTTAATATCTTATGAAGCTATAGTATACTATACAACTAGGAGGGAGACGTTCATGATGCAGAACAATTCCATCATCAAAAAGATCCATCAGGTTAACTTTTGTTAGCCCCACCATCTTTCCTCACTTCCTTTTTGTTTAGAGAACTTCCTTTAGCCATTCTTATAGGGTAGATCAAATTCTTTTTCCTTGAATGTCTTGATGTCTTCTTCATTCTTGAAGGATATTTCACTGGATCTAAGATTTGGGTTGGCAAATGTTTTAGGTTGGGTTCTCTAGAGCAGCAAAACCAAGAAGGAAATAGCTGGAGTGGCATCCACTTCCTAAGCCACATGTCTCTGGAAACTCTATGAACTTTGAAAAATGATGATAGTTTTAGAAAGGCTTCAGGTCTTTTGTTCATAGGGCTACTATGAGTTGTGCTCAACTCGGTAGCAATCAACAACTATATAATTAAAATCATTGCCATTGAGTCTAAATCAACTCATAACTGACCCTCTCTTAGGTTTCTAAGGCTGTAAATTTCATGGGAGGAGATTGCACATCTTTCTCCCAAGTTGCTGATGGATTCAGATCATCAGGGAGCCTTTGGGTTCACAGCATAACTCCCTGCGGACTAGGTCACCACAGCTCCATGTCAGTCTATCTTTATCTCTATATCTAGCCCCCTCTTTATTTATATACCACTCTTTCTTTATATAAAGAGAACAACAAAGATTTATTTCAAGGTGTAAAAAAAGCAAGGGTGGCATGGGGATGGCCGAGTCTGACCTCTCAATTCTTCAAGAGAACACTGCCTCCATCAACAGCATCCACAGCACTAAACCAATTCCCATGAAGTCACACATGCCCCTCCACGCTCCCCTGCCTGTTTCGGCTAATTCCACCAACAGTCCTACTGCTTTACAGGGCCCAGAATCTGTTGCAACAGCTACACAGAGCTACAGAAGCATACTCATAACTCTGGGTTTTATTAGGAAAGTTAATAATTCAGGTTGGCAACAAGATACAGTTTCTCAGTCAGGACAGCTTCTGAAGTGTGTGTGGGTGAGCCCTTCAGCCCTGTAGCTTTAGGCCAGTGTTACAAAGCTTTCTTAGCCCTGCCAATTAAAACATCTCCCTCCCAGCCCTCCAGCAAGCTCGGGTAGAGGTCCCCTGCTCTGGCTCTGTTGGGGCAGCAGGCTAACATCAGCTCTGTCTCATGTCAGATCTTTACTGTGATTCTTTACTGTGGCTGCTGATGCTCTTCTGTGGGTTCCAGTCTGAGATGGCACAGGAATCTCTGGTCCCAAAAGATGTGAGCTTCATTCTCTGCTGCTTCTTTCTTGGCAGTATTGAGATTCTCCAATTTCTGCTGCTGAACCTGCTGCATTTAGACCTAATGGGTTGGCAAAACTGAACAATCCCCTGGTGGATAGATTAACACATCATGTTTGCATGTCCCTGCCTAGCCTTGTGACAAAGTCAAGGGCAATGGCTTAGGAAAGCCATTTTGGACAATAGACCCACTGCACAGCACAAGGCTCACATGTTGTGCAGGAGTCTGGGGAGACCAGTGAGTCCAAATCATCAACAGGCAGACAAGATCTCAGGCACGTGGCTTTGCTTGAGATACTTCTGGTTTCAGAAGCTGATATATCCAAGATCATCATGTGAGAGCAGGGTCACAGACAGCTAGTTTTGGTTACCGAGGAGCCCAAACAGTAGACCACTTGTTAGCCAGATGTATGTAAATCAGGCAAAAAACTCCCTCTGTTCTGTCCAGAGTCTAAACATACATACCATGTAGGTCACAAATTTGGAGTAACCTCTTATCATGTGAGGTTGATCATATCTCAAAGGCTACAGTCCTGTGGAAATCAAATAAGGCTGATCTGCTTCTGATCCTGCCTCGTTAATATCATAGTGTTGCTGTGGTTTTGTGCTGTGCAGTCCGAAATGACTCATAGCTGTCCAGTCACCAGGTTTTCAGAGGCTGTAAATTGTATAGGAGGAGACTGCCCATCTTTCGCCCTCAGAATAGATGGTGGATTTGAACTCTGCCTTTGGATTGCCAATGTAACACCTTACCCGCGATGCCAGCAAAGCTCCCTGACTAATATCATTGTTGTTGTTAAGTACTGCTGCCTCAGCCGTCCTATGAACAGCATCCTATGCACCCTGTTCTACCTTGTGCCATCCTCATCATCACTGACACCACTGGAGCCCACCGCCACAGTCACTGTCAGTCCATCTCATTAAGGGTCTTCCCCTCTTACACAGACACTCTGCCCTTCCAAGCATAATGTCCTTTTTGCAAGGATTGCCCCCTCCTAAAACAGGGCCAAGATATTTGGGAAGAAATTTCATTTGCCTTGCCTTTAAGGAAAACCCTGGCTGTACCTTTTCCAACACTTGTTTGGCCTTTAGGCAGTCAGTTGGATATTCAGTACTCTTCCCCAACACTAGAACTCAAAGGCATCAGTTCTTCTGTCATCCTAATTCATTGTCTAACATTTAGCTACATAGCAAGTCGTTGAAAAGACTATGGTTTGGATCAGTTGCACCTTAGTCTTCAAATTGACATCATTACTCTTCCGCACTTTGGTGAGGTCCCTGACAGTAGACTTACTGAATGCATTGCATCTATTGATTTCCTGCCTGCTGGTACCAGGAGTGTTGAGGATCCAAGCCAGGCAAAGTCATTGACGACTTCTGTCTCTTTTACCTATCATGAGGTTGCCTGTTGGCCTAGGGGTGAGGATTTTTGTTGTCTTGATGTTGAGATGTAACCATATTGAAGGCTGTAGTGTTTGATTCTCTGTGGCAAGTGTTTTAAGTCCTCCTCACATTCAGCAAGCAAGGTTGTGTCTTCTGCATAATGCAGGTTATTGATTAGTCTTCCTCTGATCCTAATGCTACCATCTTCTTCATATTGTCAAACTTCTCGAATGATTTGCTCTGCATACAGATTGAATAGCTATGGAGAAAGGATACAGCCCTGATTCACACACCTTTCCTGATTTTAAACCATGCACTAACATTAATAGAAGTAAGAATTTACAACACATAGGATTGTTGCATTACACTATGGGTCATGGCTGCTTTGACACACAATATTAACCATCACTAAAAGGTTTGTTTGGGGTCTTTTCTTTCAGCGCTTGAAAAAGTATACCATTTCCTTTTGCTATCCTTTGAGGTGCTGTCCTCTGCTGTAAGGTGTTGATTTTTCTGTTGCCGCTTTCATGACTTTATTACTTTTAGTTTTCACAGGTTTGACCATCCTGGTGTGGATTTCTTTGGATTTATCATTTACCTGCTACATAGTCGACTAGGGTGGGACCTCTGTTCTGTCACTCTCATCTACTTGGCAAAAAGAAGGTCCCAGAACATGTGTAACATACCAGGAAGAGGAGGAGCCTTCTGGGACTCTTAGGACCTGGTCTAATATTAGTAGTGTTTTCTTCATCTGTGCCTTGTGACAGCTCTTTAGGGTAGGCGTTATGACTTCATCTGACAGATGAATCAGCTTGGGCTGCCCCTTGGGAAGAGAGGATGCTTTGCTGCCCATCCTGGCTGTGCATATTGACCTGCCTTACCCTTCATTCTGTGCCCTCTCCCGTGCCAGCTCTGGGCACACACTCAGGAATTCCTGGAACACCTTTCCACTGCCTGGGCTATAGGCTTAGCCACCCCGAGAGCAATTTGATGTCACCCCATTGCCCTGCCCTGGTTGAACACAATGACCTCCCTTCACCTTCCCATGCAGCCACCCTCTTTCCCCAGCCATATTTAGGTCTTTCCATGGTCTTTACCACCAAAGCATGCAGCATTTTCTTGAGTCTAGAGAGGGGAAAAATTTGTAATCTTCTGAATTCCATGCCTGAAGCAAAATGTCCTGGGTCTTTTCCACCCTAGTCAGGTTTTTTGTTTTAATTATACTTTGGGAAAAGTTTACAGAGTAAATTAGTTTATGATTTCATCACAAAGTGCTTTCTGACATTAGCTGTACATGCATGCGCACGCGCACATACACACATATATGCACACACACGTCAGCACTCTGCATGTCCACTGAGTTCCCTGCTTCCTTCCTTTACTTGGATTTCCTACCAATTCCTGCCGCCGCCTTCTTTTTTTTGGGGGGGGGCAGATACTATCATTTTAATAAGTATAATCGAGTGTTGTAAGGACTACGACCCTCTTGGGTGTTACTATTTCTGTTGTTCAAGAACAGAGGTGTAGTGTGGAGGGAGATATGCTGCCCTCCCAAAGGCTGAGCCTCTCTACTAGTTCAAACCCACCCGCTGCTCTGTGGGAGCAGAATGGGCAGTCTCTTCCCCTGTCACTTGAGGCCTCTTGAAAACCTGCAATTTATTGTCTCTCATGTTGGTCCAACTTGAAAGAGTCCTAGTAAAGCAGTGGGTTGGACTGCTTACCAAAAGGTTGGTGGTTCAAATCCCCCAGCTGCAGCTTAGGAGAAAGATGAGGCAGTCTTGTTGTTGTTAAGTGCTGTCAAGTTGATCATGACTCATAGTGACCCTATGAACTAAAGACTTTAACCTGTTTTGTAACTAGTTTCTCCAAGTTCATAGTTTCCAGAGGCATGTTGTTTGGAAGTGGATGCCACTACTGCTTCCAAGTATGTCTTAATCTGGGAGCGCCACCAAACACAGTTAGCCAGGTGTACCCATTGTGGCATCTGAGACACCAGTGCCACAGCACTGAGTATCTCAGCAATCCCAGGTTTCCTCAGTCCAGCAAATTAACAGGTCAGTGCCACTTAGGAATATTCATTATAAAGTAATACCAGTCTACTCATAAGTATTTACTGGCTTGGGAATTCTTTGAAGCAGTTCTACTCAGTCCTGTAGGGATGATTTAAGCCACAAAAAAGGGTGGGGTGTTTTTGTGTGTGTGTTTTTTTTTTTAATTGTTGTATACCATTGAATCAGATCCAACTGGCACAGGAAGAGATTGTTTCTCCTTCTCAAGCAGAGCATCTGGTGGATTTGAACCATACAGGATTGCAGCACAGATTCTTGCCACTAGGCCACCAGAGCTCACTAAGGGTGGGTTTTTTTGCTTGACTGAAAGGTAGTCTCTGAAAATGGCCTCAGTTCCAGGTCAGAAGAATCTTGAGACCATAGTCTCAAAAATTCTTCTAGGCTCGTTTAAGCCAGTAAATCTAGTCTATTTTTGTGAATTTGATTTTCTGTTCTATATGCATTTTCAAGTCTTATCAGGTTTGAAATGAAAAGGCCAGGTTATTAGAACATCATAGCTGGTTTCAGAGTTACAAAGATGCTCATTTATCACTAATTTCAAGGGGAATAATCACACGTTGTTAAAAAGTCCACTGATCTCTTGTTGTGTGCCGTTAAGTCAGAACTGACTCATAGCTGACCTTCTAGCAGGTTTTCAGAGGCTGTAAATCACACAGGAGGAGGTTGTGCATGGTGGAGCCAAACTGCATACCTTTAGGTTGACTGCACAACTTCTTAGCACTGAGCCACCAGGGCCAGCACGGTGACCTCTACTGGTGACTATTTATTAGTGGCTCCCAACCATTCCACCCCAAACAACCTTTCTTACTCTTTCATGAGTCCATGCTTCTTTGGTTTTTATCTTCTCTCCAAAGCTTTTTTAAAGATTTATGATAACTCACCTAGATTTTAGATAGTCAAAGACTGGATTAATACTTTAAATCAACATGAAATAACCAAAAAGACATCATTGTGGGAAGCGTGGATGATCAGAGATAGAGGGAGACCCTCGACCGATGGATTGACAGTGACGGTAACAACGTACCCGAGCTTACAGAGATCGTGCGGTGCGGCAGGATTAACTTCAGGTCTTGTGTTACAATGGAGGTCATGTAGCTCACGCGACTCATTTTTTTGGACCAGGTACCTTGCTCAGAGATAAATATGTGACACAAAGTTATACAACAAAACCTGGTTTTCTTTGTGAGGAACATTTAGAGTAGGGGTCAGGGATGAATTCTTGTTGGATCTATGGGGGAGGGGGAGCCTGATGCATGGGAAGCAGAGGCCCCAGGTGTGCTCGAGGCTCCCACAGGCCCTCCTACCCCTAGCTTTGTAGAGATGTGCCCTCGGCCAGCTTCCAGGTAAGTGGTAATGTTCTAGTGCCCAGAGAGTGACCAGGGCCTCTCATGATAGATTGAATTTTTTTCTCCTGAACCTTCTTCCATTAATACGGAGCTTTGACATTAACAACCTGTTGTGTGGTCCCAACTTTGGATTCCAAATCTACCAAGGGGTTCACAGATTTGGTAGAGTAACTTTACAGGAGGAAGAGGGTAGGAACCCCAACTTTCTGAAAGAGACCGAGGTGTGTAGGGAATACTTCAGCCTCTTCTCAACAGTTCTTCTTCTCAGGTGACACGACGCTTCGGGATCCCAGGGCTGAAGAAAACCATGGACTGGCTTGGCTACTACGGAGGCCCCTGCCGTGCGCCTCTGCAGGAGCTGAGCGCCTCTGACGAGGAGGCCCTGCGCAGCGATTTCACCAACAATGGTTGGCTCTGAGAGCGAGGTGGAGGGAGGCGCTGCCAAAACCCATCTCTCTCCAGCCTCGAACCCGCCACCTGAAGAGGAGCAGAGCTCCACTCCCCTGGGCGGACTCTCTCCAGGCACCTCCATTCACAGCCCCGTGACTTCTCATCTTCACGTCCTAACTTGTCTCTAGAGCTCCTTGGCGTCAGAAACTGCCATTTGTCTTAGTACTGTGGGTGCTTTTCTTACCTCCTGAGATCCAGGAACCCAGAGGCGGAGGGAAAGGGCAGGGTGGCACTTGGGCACAGCAGGGTAGGTCGTGTTCAGCAGGGAAGAAAACATAGACAATACAAAATCCGAGTGAGGCAGTGCAGCTGGAAGCCAGGGCCACTCCTGAGAATCCAAATTCTGACTTCTTCCAGGGACGTATGTAGGTTAGGAAACTGGCTTAGGGAAGCGTCACTGGTCTCAGAAAGTCTCCCAAGCTGTATTCCAGGCACACCTTCTTAAATCTGTTTTGACTTAACTCATGTTCTCATCTCTTAACATTGGATCCCTCCATCGAAAAGCTAGGCTTATGGAGACAGTCCAGTGGCTGGCCAGAATTGCTAAATAATGACACCTGGTGGATAAAAATGTTACAGTCCAGAAGCCTAGCCTGGGTCTGAAACCAGAAGGAAAAGGAACTTGGTCAGAGACTAGGCCAACCTCTTGCCTGTAGGCCCTCTGCTTTTAGTGTTAAAAAGAATTACTTTGTTACTTCAATAAAGTATAATAAGTAAAACTAGTGTGGCTATGTACAGAATGACACTCCACAGCTGTGCAGCTCTGAAGTCTGGAAGAACCTTCCAGTAGAGACAAGACAGCTCAAGGCACCTTTTCCTAGACCTGAGAGAGGCCCTAAGGAAACACAAGTATTAAATTGCTGGGGAAAAGCATATGAAGGCTTTGAAAGGGAGGGGTAAGAGATTCAATTGAGATATTTAAAAACACTTGGCATTTTAATCACAAAGGCCACTTTCTTCAAAATGTTTAAGCCTTTTCAGGGATGCAACTATTGCCAGGAAAACTGTTTTAAAAGTTGCTCTGGTGCTTGCTTCGGCAGCACATATACTAAAATTGGAAAGATACAGAGAAGATTAGCATGGCCTCTGCGCAAGGATGACACGCAAATTCGTGAAGCGTTCCATATTTTAAAAAAAAAGTTGCTCTGGTTTGGGAGCTCTGGTGGCCTAGTGGCAGGAAGCTGCACTGCAACTCCAGAGGTGTGGGGTTCAGATCCACCAGATGCTTTGCTGAAGGAGGGACAATCTCCTCCTATACCAGTCAGATCTGATTTAACGGTACACACACAAAAATAATAAAATAAAAAAAATTTTTTTAAAGTTGCTCTGGTTAAAAAGAAAGCTTCTGAAACCAAAAGCAAAACCATTGCTACCAAATGCCTTTGGGTACATACTAATGCCGTAGGATGGAATGGAATGGCCCCATATGGTTCCAAAGCTGTCAGTCTTCACCAAGCAGACTGCCACGTCATTCCCCCACAGAAAGATGGTGGACTCGCACTGCGAGCCTTGCAGCTAGCAGCCAAACACAATCATTGCATCACCAGGGCTTCCAATTTCGCTAAAGGTTAGAGAAGAGATGGATATAAAGAGGTACTAATCCTCAAATGACTCCAGGCATCTAATGGCACTAAAGTTTGGCACTTAGCACTTGGACTCTTATCACCGGGAATATCCAGATCCTGTGGTGTCTATGGGACCCTGGGAAAACCTAACTCCCCGTAGCCTCATCTGTAATGGGGAAATAAAAGTACCTTCCTCACAGGGCTGTGGTGGGTAAGCATTGTTCATGAACTGATTTGGGGACGTGTAGCCCGATTGTTGCAAAGCAAGGAGAGCCCCAGCAGGGGCTGACTTGGCCGGAGTAGCCCAGGTGTGGCAGGAAGTGTTCTCAGGCTTTGGACACAGCGATACCTAGGCTGGAAACCCAGCAGGAAGGAAGACCAGGACACTTACTAGTTCGAGCAACCTGAGCTGGTCTGGTTTTTCTTTTTTTTTTTTAAATCAGTCTTATACTTGGCAGTTTCAGTGAGAATTAGATGGTGCCATGTGGTATAGTTGTTATGTGCTATCAAGTCACCTGCGACTCAGAGCGACCCTATGTATGCTAGCTCTGAATCCTGCCTTATCCTAAGCCAATCTCATCATTTCCAGCTGACGTATCCCATTTCTCTGGTCTTCCTTTCTTGCGCTGTAAGCACAGTATGGTGGACAGTCTAAACTCCAAGCCCAAATTTCTGATTAGCATTTAGAAATAGCAAATTTGTGCTGAAGAAACAGGACAAGAAAGTCAAGAACACAAAGTATAGGCAGTCTGGTGATTGTTTATTTCTCATAAACACTTGTTTTCTACAGTACGATTCAGAGATTAAATAGAGGCACACGGCTATGATTTCCACCACAATCTGCTGTTGAGGAGACATTCAGTATGAGGACAAGGGATTGAAGGGGCGTGTCTGGGTCACAGGGTAGCTGGAGGCCTCCCTCCATGATACATTGTAAGGGGATCCTATCAGATGAGCTCTGATCCCCAGGCCTGATGGCCAAGGCTGACAGTGGAGAAGACACAGTAAAACAAATGCCAGAAGACAAGTGGTTTTTTAGTGCCTTAAAGCCCTAGGATGTGTCCAACTCTAACTAAACCCCAAGGGGCTGAGATTAGTCTGACCTCCTGGTCCCCTGGGAAGGAACTGGATCAGCTCAAGCCATCCTGAAGGATTCCATTCACTCCAGGGTAGGGCCCAAAGTGGCCCAGAAATGTCTGCCTTCTTCTCCCCTGGGTGAGCAATAAATGCAAGTTATCAGGTTACTTTTACGTCAGTGTCTTTCTTGACAATCCCATTAAAGGGATCCTGCTCCATGTCTAAGGAAGGAGAGGCACAGATGGGGATTCTCTGCTAGGACTCAGGTGAGGAAGACAGTATGTAACGTGGGGGAGAGGGAAAGAGTGCTCTATAATATAATAGAGCAGACAAAAAATAGCAGTCAGGGCAGACAGAGCCCAAGGCCTGATGCCATGATTCCAACCAGCAGTAAGTAAAGCGTAACACAGAGAAAAGCTGCAATCTTGACTTTCACAGGACTACTAAGTTGCCCTTATCTTGTTCCTTATTTCTCCAGCACTAGCCTTAAATGGAGCTAGCGTTATCTGCCCCAAATACAAACAGGATGAAGGCATTCTGCTTAACTTAGCAGAAAAAGAAGGCAGCAGCAGGCTACACTGGCTGACCCAAAGTTTCAGGAACAGAGTAACAAGTGAGAAAGGGAGGTCCCTCTGTCCTAGCACATTGGATAAAGGGAAAGACAGAGCTTGTAACAACTGCTGCAGGGTTGGTATCCTCAGCACTGTTGTGTCCACCAATACCTGATCGACAGGTGATGGGGAACATCACAAGGCTTCCACCTGATGCTTGTTCTCCTCTCAGGTCCAGTTCCTCTGTCCACCTTGAATGACTAACTCGAATGCCCAGTGCTTGGCAGCTAGTGCCCACACCCCATCAGGCTGTGAGGTTCCGAGCTGACTTGGAGGCGCTCTGGGCCCGCTGAACCACAGTCGAACACTTCTCCCGCCGAAGCAGCTTGTTGTTCTCAAACAGACCTTCATTGCGGGGGATTCCATGAGAACCATCAGGGAATGTCAGCAGGCCTTTGAGGAAGACAGAGTGACAATGGCATTCATCTCAGAGATCGGCTCACTAACGTAAAAACCAAGAAAAAACTCACAGCTCTCCTCTGGGCTATTTTTGTTGAGAATTTTAAAGACCAAATATAATAACCATGGATTGTGGACATCCACAAACATAAAACTATAATAGTGAACTTCTACCTATATTAAGTTCAACTAAGCCATTCATTCTGCTGGGCTGCAACTTACCAAAACCATCTACTCTGCCATTTTTAAACTCTCCTTCAAAGGTCATATTGTCATGCCGGATGAAGACTCCAACGCCATTAAACTTGCCCTGGGAAAACTCCCCCTCATATCTGTAGAAACAACAACATGTTAGCCTTCTGGGGGTGTACGGTGTTGTCGGTCCAGGTTAAGTGAGTCACACAATTACCGATTTCATAATGCCAAGGAGTAAAGTGGATGCCATGTGTTTCAGAGCTCTAGTCCCCAGCTCACCCTACTCCAGCTAACACAGAAAGGTCAGAGAATATGTATGGCTTGACGGGCTCAGGTCAAGGAAAGAACATGGGAACATGGAGGTAGAGTGGAAGGTGATTCAGTTCCTTACCCTTTCAAGTTTTAGATCTATTTAAAAATTAACTCCTAAAAGAACTACTTATTTCTTGGCTGTTTTCTGCAGGGTCTATGTTCAAGGTCAACCAGATACCACTATCATTTTTTTCATCAGAGTTACTCTAGCTTACAGTTGGGAAAGAAATGATACCATACCTACCTTGAGCCATCTGAGAAGGTCAGCACCCCAAAGCCATTAAACAGCCCATTTTCAAAATGACCCAAGTAGGTGCCACCATCTGCAAACATCAATTGGCCAAAACCATGTCTACGGCCTGAGCAAACAGAAAGACAGGTATCGGGTTGGAATGGTGTAGCTTCAGGGAACCTTCTCAGTCATACAGCATCCTTTCCCTTCTGTTACCCCACTCACAGAGGAAAGATGAGAAGCTGTAACATTAGCAGGGCAGAACACCATTACCCTGAGCCAGGCACCTACAGCACCTGGCTCCTGGGACCTTCGCATCTTAAGTCGCAACCATCAGCTTTAGAGAAGGTCTTTCCAAGTACGAAAGATCAGAGAGCACTTAAACTTTACAGTAACATTTATAGAATGGTTACCATATGCCAAATAATTTAAGCGCTTTGTATTTATTACTTGACTCAACCATTATCATAGTTTTATGTGGCCAATAGAGTATTATGATTATTTCTACCTTACTGACAAAAAAAAAAGAGGCAAAAGGGAGCTAACTTACTTAAGGCCACAGAATTATTAGGTGGTA